TGTTAATTTTTATGCAAAAAGTCATTATTATTATTATTATTATTATTATTATTATTATTATTATTATTATTATTATTATTATTATTATTATTGTTGTTGTTGTTGTTGTTATTATTATTAATGTCAAAAAATACAAATAGAAATTATTAAATTTTGAACCATTCAAATTGATGATCCATTTGTTTTAGAGCTGGAATTGGAATTAGAATGTATTGGAATTGGAGTGGTTTATATCTCTCACCTGTTTTGTTCAAATTGAAATCGAAATCATAATCAAAATTGGTTGAAATGGATTTTCATTTCCATAGGACGGGAGGAAATGGCCATTCCCTCAAATGGGAGAGTGCTGTTCCACTATAAATGAGAATGAGATTTTGATTCTGCCCAACAAAACAATTATTATGGGAGTTGGAATAGACTCCAGGTCCCTATTCCCACAAACCAAACGGACCCTGAGTATTAATTAGAAGTAACTAATACCCCCTTAAAAACTAAAATAAAAATCAACTCAAGTTTTACTTAATATGGAATATGCTAAAATTTATGTCAAATAACATTTTAAAATATTTAGTTTATTCTGTCATTATATCTCGTTGAAACTGATTATTTTTTGGGTGAAATTTAAACTAGGTTATCTAATCAATTAAAAAAATCCACCGCAAATTACGCAATAAACAAGTAGATGGAAATCATATTTATTAAAAACTGTAACTTAATTAGAAAGTTAAACCGGAGAAAGCAACATTATTTTAATAATATATGTTCAGCAGAGAGAGAGAGAGATTAGAGATGGGGCGGCACTAGACAAAGATTAATGAATTTGTTTATGAGATAGTGGCAGAGTAACTAACATACAAGTTGACCATGATCAAGTGAAGTTACTTTTGCTTTTTGAATTTTGATTCATCTCAACCAAAGCTCCAGGAAAATGACAGGAGGACTGACTACTGACCAGTGAGTGAATCTTCAGGCTTCACACTTGGTAATTGGTTGGCTGGCTGCAATTGCACCATTAGAAAATTAAGGGATTTTTAGACTGCAACCCCTAGAATTAAACAATTAATTAATCGTTCATACTCTTTCTTTTGGAGTTGACTGAACACTTCTGTTAAACATATGCAGATATGCTTACATGGCATACAACCAGCCTGCCTGTATGCCACATAAGCTAAGCATTGACATCTGTAATTTCAAGCCCAATTGAAACTTGAAAGGATCGAAGATAGATTTTATTACTTTTAACATATTTTACTAGTAACTTATAATATTTTAACCAGTTTTTACTTTTTATTAATAATATTCGAATCGGATCGATTCGATCCGATCCGTTTATAGGATGGGCGAACTCGAATCGAAGGTGGTTTAAGTAAAGCCTTAAAGGACAGGAAATAGCTTTACAAGTTAGAGCTGATTTGACTTTTAGCCCATAGCAGGTCCAGGAGGAGAAAAGCAGAGGTGGGCCCACCTTGCCACTACCCACAGAAAATAGTGCTTAATAACATTAATTAATAAAAAAAGGAAATTCAAAAAAAAATGGAAAATATCATAATCAGTTTAGTTCAGTCAGTGTTATGAAAATATGAAGTCAATGGTTGACGTTTTTCTTCCCTTCTGTTTTTTTGTTCATTGTTTAGTGAAATCAATAATTAATTGAAGATTAAAGGAGAAGGAAAAATTAAAGAAAGCATGAAAAGAAAAGAAAAGTGGCGAGTGGGGAGGAGGTATATTGTGTTTTTCTTGAGATGGGAGTAATAATGAAAGAGGGAAGAGAGCAGTGACAATCAATGCAGACATGTTTGGATTGCCCATTGGAGTAATGGGAAGTTGATGGCAAGACGGGTTCGCTTTTCAAACTTTTAATTCGATTACGGAGGAAGTAGAGAAAGAAGGGAGAGAGGTTGGTGAAGGGGAAGAGGGGTGGTTGGAGCCGTTTCTACCGCCGCTTTTTTTCTTTTGTTCAAGCCCCAGAGTTTTGATGTGATTCCTTTCATCGATTGAATTCTAGGGGCTCGGGTTCAATGCTCTATCTCACTTTGCTGCAGTGTCTGAAGGGTTTGGGGGATTTCTGAACTTTTCTAGATCTGGGGTGCTTTCTGGATTTGAGTTTCAGGGCCTGGTATTTTTTCAATTGGGGACTTTCTCAGAATTTGGTGTTTCGGTCTTTGGTGTGGGTTGGGTTTTCGGGATCCTGTGGATATCTTGGGTTTTGCTTTAGTTTTCTTTTTTCGTGGATTTTTGGGTGCGTACCGATCTCTGGTTTTCTGGTGGCTATTGTTGGGATGTCTGAAAAACTTGGACTTTGTGTGTTTTATAGTCCAGGGGTATCTTTTCTTTTCCCCTTTCATTTTCTGTCTTGTTGATGATGTGGTCCGCTTTGAATTCGATCCTGAATTTTGGGTTCTTGGAGGAAGGAGGGGCTTAAACTAGGGTTTTGTCTGCTCGGGGGTTAAAGGTTGGTTGGGCTGAGATCTCTCTTCGCTCTCTTTTTTCCTTTTGCATTTCTTTTGAACCGAGTCTTCGCATTCTAGTTATAGTTCTAAGCCTTAATGGAAGAATCTCTGGTTCCGTGTGTTTGAATATTTCGGATAAAAAAGTGAAGGCCCCTCGGCCCGATTAAAGGTCGGACTGTCGCTGAATCTCTGCTATTTTCCCTCCTTGCGTTAGGGTTTTGATTTTTGAAAGCAGAGGTTTGATTTTGGGAAGCTAAGATACCTTTTGCTTTCTGTTGGACCTGGTAGAGTTTGAAACTGATTCTGCTTTGCTGGGAGTTTTGCTGAATGGGCTAAAGACTGGGTATCTCGGCTGAGCTTGGCTGGTTTTCATTTTTGGGTTTCTCTCAGATTGGCTTACCAGAAGGGAGCATTCATGCATCTTCAACTATGGAATCCTATATCCAACTGTGCGGCCCGAATCCTGGAGAGGAAGAGCAGACGGAGAGATGGTTCGGGTTCGACTGAGGAAGACAGACGGAAGCCTTCGATTCTCCGGCAGGTGCTGGAAAACAAACTCAGAGAAGCGCTCGAAGAAGCATCGGAAGATGGGTCCCTTTTTAAATCCCAAAACGTGGATTCTGAGTCATTCTCCAATCAAGATGGGAGTTTTGGGAGGTCAAGGTCCCTTGCTAGGCTCCATGCCCAGAGGGAATTCCTCCGTGCCACCTTCCTTGCTGCTGAGCGGACCTTCGAAACCGAAGAGTCCATTCCTGACTTCCATGAATCCTTCTCCAAGTTCCTCACTATGTACCCAAAGTTCCAATCCTCTGAGAAGATTGACCAACTAAGGACGGATGAGTACGGACACCTCTCTGATCAGTTTGCCAAGGTATGTCTCGATTACTGTGGCTTTGGGCTCTTCTCTTACCTTCAGACTTTTCAGTATTGGGACTCTTGTGCCTTTAGCTTGTCTGAAATAACTGCAAACTTGAGCAACCATGCTCTATATGGAGGTGCCGAGAAAGGCACAACGGAAAACGATATAAAATCAAGGATCATGGATTATTTGAACATCCCCGAGAATGAATACGGCCTTGTTTTCACTGTCAGCAGAGGATCTGCATTTAAATTGCTAGCTGAATCATACCCTTTTCAAACGAACAAGAAGTTGTTAACTATGTTTGATTACGAGAGCCAGTCTGTGAACTGGATGGCTCAGAGTGCAAAAGAGAAAGGTGCGAAGATTTACAGTGCATGGTTTAAATGGCCAACCCTGAAACTCTGCTCCATGGAACTGAGAAAGCGGATCTCTAACAAGAGGAGGAGAAAGAAGGATTCTGCCGTTGGCCTTTTTGTGTTTCCTGTTCAGTCTAGGGTGACCGGAGCTAAGTATTCTTACCAGTGGATGGCACTTGCCCAGCAGAATAACTGGCATGTCTTACTTGATGCTGGTTCATTAGGCCCTAAGGACATGGACTCACTTGGTTTATCACTCTTTCGGCCAGATTTCATTATAACGTCCTTTTACAGGGTGTTTGGGGCTGACCCAACTGGGTTCGGATGCCTTCTCATCAAGAAATCTGTAATGGGAAGTCTGCAAAACCAGTGTAGCTGCACTGGGTCTGGAATGGTGAGGATAGTTTCAGTTTTCCCACAATATCTTAGTGATTCTATGGATGGTATTGATGGATTGACTGGAATTGAGGATGACAGGATTGAGGAGAATGAAGATTTGACACTTGAAATTCGTCAGGGATCACAGTTGCCTGCTTTTTCTGGTGCATTTACTTCTTCCCAGGTGAGGGATATTTTTGAGACTGAAATGGATCAAGATAACAGCTCTGACAGGGATGGTGCAAGCACAATATTTGAAGAATCTGAGAGCATTTCAGTTGGGGAGGTCATGAAGAGCCCAGTTTTCAGTGAAGATGAATCTTTTGACAACTCATTCTGGATCGATTTGGGTCAGAGCCCATTTGGATCTGACAATTCAGGTCAGTTGAGAAAACCAAAATTTGGATCTCCCTTGCCTCCTTCATGGTTTACTGGCAGGAAAAACCATATGCTGTTCTCTCCCAAACAAGCACCAAAGATATCTAGAAGCCCAATCTATGATGGCAGGCAGGTAAACCTTAGACCACATGAAGATCATGTGCTATCTTTTGATGCAGCTGTATTATCAGTCTCACAGGAACTGGACCGTGTTAAGGAGGTGCCTGAAGAAGAGCAGTTTGCAGAAACGGATTCCATGTCACAAAACAGTGGAAAGGTTGCAGATTTCGAGCATGCTAGGGTAATGCAGAAAGAAGATGAGATCAGAGAAGAATCAACTTTGACTGGTTCGAAGTTGAGTTCTGTAGCAAATGGATCTGGGCTTCAGCATGGTAGCCTTAATGGCTCGATGTCTGAAATATGCCAACAGACAAAAGAAAGTGCTATAAGGAGGGAGACAGAAGGTGAGTTTAGATTACTTGGAAGAAGAGAAGGTAACAGGTTTGCTGGAGGTAGATTTTTTGGTGTGGAAGAGAAGGAAAGAGTTACAAGCATGGGCCAGAGGGTGTCCTTCAGCATGGAGGACAACCCCAGAGAACGATTGAGCCATACTCTGGAGCCTGGGGAGGTTTCTGTGACTAGCCTTGGTGATGAAGAGTCCACCAGCGATGGAGATGGGGATGCGCAAGAGTGGGACAGAAGAGAGCCCGAAATAGCGTGCAGGCATCTTGACCATGTGAACATGTTGGGTCTCAACATAACTACTCTCAGACTCAGATATCTTATAAATTGGCTTGTTACCTCACTACTCCAACTTAGATTACCTAGTTCAGATGGGAGCACGGGACTGCCTCTTGTTCACATTTATGGCCCAAAAATTAAATACGAAAGAGGTCCAGCTGTAGCGTTCAATTTGAGGGACAGTAACGGTGGGCTAATCAACCCAGAAATTGTTCAGAAGCTAGCAGAGAAAAATGGTATATCTCTGGGCATTGGCTTCCTTAGTCATATAAAGATTGCTGATAGCCCAAAAAATCATTGTGGAGCATTGAATCTTGAAGACACTGCCTTGTGTAGTGCAATAGCAAATGGCCACCTTGAAAGCAAAAATGCCTCCATCCGTGTTGAAGTTGTTACAGCATCTCTGGGATTTCTTACCAATTTTGAAGATGTGTATAAGATGTGGGCTTTTATAGCTAAGTTTCTTAATCCATCATTTGCAGAGGAGAGACTACCAACTGTTCCAGAGGGTTCAGAAACATAATATTTTCTATGTGAATGTCTTTGTCGCAAGTTCAAAGGAAGATGGACTCCTTTGCTGCCTTTTGCAGCACCCTCCTCGCAGTTGCAGAACATGGACATATGTGATTCTTATTGTTTGGAGTCTACTTTCCGGGAGTTGGGGTGTGAGATACAGAAGCTGAGTCTATTTCTTTTAATTCTTCCTTGAGAGGTTTTCCATCAAAGCGGGTGAATTTGTTTATTCTTGTTTTGTTTTCCCATTTCCTTGGAATGTATTTTCTCTCCCTTCTGGGTTCATGTAGATTTTGCTTTAAAAATTTGAATCATCTCAGGAGCCATTTAGAACTCCAAGCAGAATTGAAATTGGCCGAATACTTCTTCTTCTTCTTCTTCTTCTTCTTCTTCTAAGTTACAGTTCTACTTAGTATTCCCATCTTTTTTCAGTCATAAAACTGGATATATTGTGTTTGTTTTTTCTTTACCCTCCAGGCCTCCACCAATGACGTAGGCTGTATTTGGTTTGAAGGAAAAGATAGGGAAATGAACATTTATCAAAAAAAAAGAAATGATAGGGAAATGAAGGGAAAAGTGAGGAAACCAATACAAAGTTCGTATAGGTTTTACTTCCTTTTCCTACATTTTCCTTTAAACCAAACACAACCTTGGGGTGGGGTGGGGGGTCACAAAGAAAGTGGGCTGGAACTTTCAGAAAATTTTCCCTTATTTTTGGTAGTGGTGTGGGGACGATTTCTATTTCTGCAATGGGTGATTTTCTACTAATCATCCAAACTCTTTCACTCTGCAGATGCCGATAGTGGAAACTGATATAAGCATACTTAGGCCCTGTTTGATGATTAAGTACTTGTTGAAAGAAGTACTTGTGAATGTTTGATGATTAAGTACTTGTTAAAAGAAACAAGTACTTCTTAGAAGTATTTGTTTTAACAACCCTTTAGGCTGTATGATAATCTACTTTTTCAAATCACTTATTATGTTTTTAAGTACTTATTGGGGTGAGAATGTTTGGTAAGCTATTTTCCAATAAATGTTTATATTTATGCAAATAACAATTTTAGCCCTCTCCATCTCATACTTCTTCCTTTTCTTTCCAGAAATTCACTATTCATCATCTTCCTCACGACACAGATCCAAGCGGCGATGAATTCATTCCACCATTCCATCCTCGAACAGTCCAAACCAATAATAATAAATGCAAATCAAATAATTTCTAACCAACTTTCCCTTGTAGATCTCACGGATTCTGCATCAAAACCAATAGATAACAACGATCAAACAATTGAAGCAACAACTACACAGCCAAATCAACACCGCTCTTTGAGACATGAGGCCACTGAAATTACTTATTAGATAACTAAATTCCACTCACAAAACCAACAATCGGTGATAAAAAAAGACCGAAGAGCATGGAAATTCGACTATCGGAAGAAGAGCTGTGTAGCGAAAAAATTCCCTTTTCTTTTAAAAAAATAGAAAAATGGGAGTTTGCAAAAACAGTGTTGGAGCTGCAAAAGAAAATGATAGAAACCTAACTCTTATTCTCCACCTAAATCCCGTGATTTGTATAACCATCAGACATTGAACACATGAAACACGTAGATCAATACATAAGCCCTAACACGAAATTTCCTGCAGAATCTTGTACAAATACCAGCTTGAAAGCAACAACAGCACAAAAAATCAAACCTATATTACTTGAAAACATTTGGAAACCCAGCAGACGAAAAAGGCTACAGCAGTGGTCGGTTATTCTTCTATGAAGTCCAATGAAGCAGTTCTCTCTCCCCGTCGGCTGTATTATACACCCAACTCCGCCGGCAAGAACAACTGTATTATACCGAGAACGGTGTTGGACCTGTAAGAACGGCTGTATTATACACCCAACTCTGTCGGCTGGCTTTTGTTCACCGTCGAATATTGCCGGTGGACCTGCAATCAAGCTCCACCGCTGCCTGTTGTTGTAGGGTTTCGAATGGAAGAAGAAGATGATAAATTCGAATGGGGCTAGTTTTATCATTAAAGAAAAGAAAACAGGGACAGGTTTGTCCCATTTGAATGAAAAAGTACTTCTTTAAAAAGTGCTGGAAAAAAAGTCATATCTATGTCATTTTTTTAAGAAGTATTTTTTTTAATAATAAATACTTCTTACTCTCTTTTTTATCAAACACCCACAAGTATTTAAAAACCACTTAATTTGTGGTCCCATATCTTAAAAGAAGTACTTAATAATATTTTCAAACGGGGCCTTAAAAACGACGGTTCACACATACGAGCAACTACCTACCAAAAAATGGTATTAGCTATACCATATAGGTAGATTAATGTGGGAGGCTCGTATGGTAGCAGGGAGGGCGCATTACTGTACTATGTCACCCTTTGTTATTTCCAGCTCCACCACAACCAGCCGGAGAGCATCTTGACTTCCGATCATTTGAAGAGTAGAGGTTTTTGCATGGCGAGCTTCTGCTATCTTTACTGTTCAGATGAAAAGATGGTCTACCAATTTCATGTGGAAGTTTTATTTCTTTCTTTTTGGAATGATTGTGTTTAGAGATGTTCTGCTCATGGCCAAGAACTAACGGTTGCAAGAAAGCAATGATTGTGTGGAGCTGTATCCTTTTGCAGTCTGCTGGGTTATTTGGAATGAAAGAAACACGAGACTATTTGAGAATAAACATAAGAATATTGATAGGCTGATATCTATGATTGAGAATTTGGTGTCGGATTGGATTCTAGTGCATCCAGAATTTCATCACTAGCAGAGCAGAATTGGGAGAGAACTTCTAGAATATTCTTGAGTTACAGACTTGTAATTTTGATTACTTTTTTGTCTCTTCAATTGTCTCATGTATTTTGTTTTTTTTTTTTTGTTAAGGCTGTGGTGGGGTGTTATCTTGACAATAGGCTGTGTTTGGTTTGAAGGAAAAAGTAGGTAATGGAAGGGAAAGGTAATGAAACCTTTACAAATCTTGTGTAGGTTTTTTTGCCTTTTATTTTACAAATCCTTCAAACCAAACACGGCCTTAATGAAAATTTTATTTTATTTCTTCAAAAAGATCTATGTTTTTTACTCTGGTGTGTAGTAACGTGTAGCTGTCAATTTTCTTCTTTTGGTAATTTAAACTGATTTTTTACAAAAACTACAATAGAGACTAGAGAAAAGAGAGATCCATAATGCTACATTCCTAATATGAGGGTGCTTTCCCTCATTCTCCTTTCTCAACAATTATTACTAGGCCACGCCCATTGAGTTACTTTTATCATGAGAAAATTAAATTCTATTTTCTGCTTTGGGTTTAAGGGTATATCATATTGTAGAAAAGCTTAGGTGGGTTCTCTCCTAAAGCACTCTGGAGTCTGGACTAGGACCATGACCAGGACCAAAAATAGATGTGGTAGTAAAGTCTTTTAGACATTGTAGGTTGCATTCTTTCTTTACATTAAAAAGAAAACCATTACCCAAGGTTGGTTCCAGCCATCTAGGGTCTTAGGAGGGATGAATTGGATACAGACATACCATTTGGATGGCCTATGAGTATATCATGATCATCCAAACAGAATTTTTCTGCATGAAATTTCCAACAGTTTGATTAAAGGGGTTAAAGTAGTGCCTATTCTCTTATTTTGGGCCCTTTTTTTTTCTCTTTTTGTCATTGTGAAGATGCTGGCGGTTGACGGTGTTAACCAATTTGTTGGTAAGGTCATTCACTGGTTGCAACAGAGACTTGGGATCCTATCCTTGCCTTCACCTTGACTAATCTTCCTAACAGGCATTTCTTTCTAGATTTGTGCAATAGTTGGCTATAAGCTCATCCTCTTCAACTATTGGGCATATATTAATGCTACTTTTATTTTAATTCCAAATCAACTTTTTAGCTCATCTAAATAGTAGCATTCTAATGCCTAATTCTATTTCTTTGAATTCCAATTCCTACCAATTCAAGGATTTGGGATCATTGTTTTAAAAGGCTTAAGCCTTGAGGCGAGGCATACAGATTTTGCCTCAAGGCTTAAGCCTCACAAATTTGATGGGTGAAGCTTAAGCCTTTGTCAGAATGAGGTGTAAGCCTCAAGCCCCAAGGCATGAGGCATAGCTTGAGGCGTAAGCCTCAAGTATCAATGATTAATGATTTAGTGCAAAAAGTGTAGTTTTATAATTTAAAATATATAGAAAAAACACTTCCACAATTATGGGCCAAATAAAAAAAAGTAAAAATGAAAAACAATAAGGAAAATCAAATTCTATTAGTTTTTCTTAGTGTTCTAAGAGAGTTCAATGCAAAAAGGACTAATCAAGTTATTAGTTTCTTTTGGAATTTGGATAAATTAAGTGAGGTTTTTCTTATTATTCTAGATGTAGTGTCCCAAGTTTGTTATTTTTCTCATAATAGTAATAATAATAATAATAATAATAATAATAATAACAATAATAATAATAATAATAATAATTATTATTATTATTATTATTATAATAATTGTTAGTTGTTTCCGTTCTTCCAAATTATTTTTTACAAGAAATATAAAATGTTTATAATTGTTAGTTGATTAATTATTATTTTATTTAATGCTTAAATGCCAAAACTTATTACTTATAAACTTGTAGTTTATGGATATGTATACTTTCTATCATTTTAATTTAGTATATTGTATGTTATTTTCATCAATGTACAAATTTTAATTAAATTTTTTCTTAAGCTTTGAGGCTTAGCCTTTAAGGCTTACGCCTCAACTATGCCTTTAGCCTCTTAAAACCTTGTTTGGAGTTCTAAAATTCAATTCCAGTTCCATGCAATAGACCCTAAAGAGTTTATTAGCCATCAAATGCATTATTTATTAAGTATTACCAAAAGAAAAATGCATTATCAGGGACAACCAATAGTCAAAAGTACTTAACAATGTCAAAAATATTAAAGTGATTCATGGTTTGCCCAAAAATTGTCAAAAAGATCATAAAGAAATTAAAGAGGAAAAACCTTTGGTTCCTTAACCGATTTTACAAAGTAAACCACTTAAAGGGCAAATTGTTCATTCCTGACCTATAAAGCATATTCCTTATCAAGACAATACCTGCTTAATACTGGCTTTGTTGGGTTCAAGCAGTATTTGTTCATTAGCCGATTCTCTTGCTTTAATTGTCAGTTTTGTTAGATGAATATAAATAGCATATACTAATGCGAACTAAATCTGTATGATAACAATTAGGGTACATGATGCATTAATATCACAATTATCCACTTTGTTTTTTTTTGGTAAAACACAGTTATCCATTCAAATAGATGGAGTTGAGGGTGTTATAAGATTGAAAGTTTCATAAACAAGGAACAGCCTTGAGTTACCTAATAGCTAGAAAAGATTGTTATATTGGTTAGTGAGACTACTCTTTAAGTTGGAATACAGACCAAAGAGAGAGTACTGCCGGAGATTCTTCACCTCATACCATGAATTAAGGACCTCATCACTCTTATCCGTACCTGAGAAAGCTAACTGTATGCCAAGACTGCAATCAAAAGGCCCACCATGGCTTTGGCAATTAGAGATTCTAGTTGCACAGTCCTGGAGGTTAAGGCAAATGAAAGATGACTTTCCAGCACATGTTGCACATCCATCCTTCTTCCAATGCAAGTTTTGAAGGGTTCCCTTTTGGAATTCAAGTACCTTCACATACACAGTAGCAACTTTGATAATGATTAATGAGTCCATAGGAAAACATGACTAGTTATGCCTGTATCTCCATTCAATGCTCTTACCAAAGTAAAGCTAGTTATTATATAGGAACTGTTTGCAACAAAAGTGGGTTGTGATCTTGCTGCATATTTCCGTCCAGCAAATGCTACCATGTATCCACCATACATATCCTGGAAAGTGAATAAAAATTGCAGAACTAAACTAATTATTTTGTACTAGGAAATTGTCAGTAAATACATGATAAACTTGTAATATCAACTCCAGCCAACTTCTTGCAGATTGTCAAACATAATGGTTAGTAACCCAATTCCTTCATGTTCAAATCTAGGAAACCAGAAAATGATTTTGGTCCAGTGGCTCATATCTGCACCAAGAATGCTTGTCTTGGTAATATAGTACAAAACTGACATACAGATTCATGGACAAAAGTGGTATTGATTTAGTTGAAAGTCAAATGAACTGGTAATTCTGGCTTGATGAAAAATAACCATCAGATGACAACCTGGAATGCTAGAACCAATCCCACTATCAACCCAAAGATTATTGTGGATGTTTACAATTAGAGCAACTATGAGATCTGAATTCATAGTTTTCATAGATTCATATAGGTCAATGTATTTGAGTACATCGTGCATGGTAGTATAATTAATGTGGTCATGGGTTTAAGAACAACACAAAGAATTCTAGACAAAAAATACAACACTCAAAAATGCACAGAATTATAATAGCTAATCCAATCTCCCATGTCTAGCATATATCCCTCATAATAACAATGCTATATCATACAAAAGTTTATCAAGCTATATATAGAATTACAGCCCTGAGGCAATGTATCTTCACATGAAGTAGTTGAAATAAGATGTATGCAAACATGTGAACAAGTTAGACACAAAGAACAATTCTCTACTATGCATAATGGGTCCATTTCACATGTATGAAACCAATGAATGTAAAGTTTGCATACATCAAGTTTAGGCTTGTCAGGTATGCAATTCTTGGGTCTTCATAGTTGGAACAATAATTAATGGAGAAAAGGACAAGGGCAATGAAGACCATATGGAAAACCAAGTGTCAGGGATGACAAAGAGTTCATGATATTTGAAGCATCTCCAAACATCCATTTAACATAAAATAGGTAGAATTTCATGTAAGATTATAAGGTTATTAATTGAAGATGAGGTGTCCGAAATTGGTCCATATCTCAGAAGATGAAGGTATTAGATGCACCAAAAAAATCAAGAGGTAGTTAAGGGCAAATTGGATTGATTGTTTTCTTTTTTCAAGGAGTCTTTACTTCAAACTATTCATTGTGTTGGTGCCTCTAATTCTAGTTATGATCCATGATCCACTCTGACCAGAATTGAGAAAAATCTAAAGGGAAAATTTCCAGTGGTCTATAGTGGAAAAATTCATGGTATGGACCCACATCAATATAGGATCTAACCTGAATATGAACCTTATTAGGGTTTGGTTCTCTTATATATCTCATTGTATTTTGAGGAATAAGCTGTCTTGTATCTTGAGAATATGTGAGAGGCCGAGTGTGAGGAGAAATGGGTGTATTGAGGCCAAAGTTTGGTGATAGAGGTTGTGAACACTATGAATGTAGTTTTATAGTGGATTTCATCTCCTCTGATGCCCTATGGACATAAGCTGTAAAGCTTAACCACGTAAATCTCTATGTATGCTTGAATACTCTGTTTTTTCTTTTTTGTACTCTTCTTATTTTCTGTACTTGCCAATTGTATTTTTGGATCCTGCTTTGATTTTGTTAGTTCTGCAACACTACTCAGGAGAAGGTATAAACATTTTTGCCTTTTAGCACAATTGCAAGACTGAATTATGACTTCCGTGTAAGGAGCAAACTTTGACTATTTGGAAATAAATCAAATCTTTCAATTCACTTTACTATCCATTTATTCTCCTATGCATATCAACCTAGTGAGACAGAACTTTGTATTATCTTGGAATAAAATATAGGGTACGGAGTCACCAAGATGGCTGTTTTCAATAGTTTTGTATTCTATATGGACTAGGAGGGCTTAATAATTAGACATCCGAACTAATTCCCCCCAACCACTTGGTGCTGTGAAAATGGTGCATCATTTAAGATTCTGTCCATGTATTTTCTTTTTCTTCTTGAATTCATGGAAGTCTCACTCATCGAAGATATACAGAACATCCAATGGTAATGGTAATGCCACTCTCAGGCTAATATTCCTTTTTCTTTTCGATGACAGGAAAATCACCAAATTTGGGCCTTCACTAATGAAATCTCAAATGATGTCAGGAGTTAAAGGAAAGGAAAAGGGCATTTCAGTTTTTTTTTTTTTTTTCAGGTACGTACCGGAGAGAATTTGCTACCGTTGATGGTAAGTAGAGAAATCTCATCTACCTTTGGCCTAAAGACAGCAAGCTGAGCAATTTTGGTTGAAAGCGATAGACGTCGATCACAAGGTGAAAGCTGTATTTTCTCAAAGAAAAACGATTCTTTGGAGGAGAATGCTAATCCGAGGGTAAAACCATCGGATTTCAGAATTTTGGCATCTGAGCAGGGATCATAGATATCATTCGTATCCCATGCATCCACTGAAGTTGTTATCACCACGATCATAATCAGTGTCATTATCGGGACAGTCCTCATAATGGCTATTGCTGCAGCTTCATCAAAAACAAAAAAAAGGAATCCTACTCGTTAGATACAGAAGAGCATTATAGCAACCTTTAGAAATTGAAATTCTATACACATCAAATAAAAGATCCAGGAATCTAATTGATAATTTAAAAAGAATCAACGTAGACAGAAACATAGGAAATAAGAACTGGGCAACAATTAGAAGAACAACATGTGTCTGAGCTTCCTATTCAAACAATTTTATGCAATTAAGCAGCGTGGCATATGGCGTCAACACAAAATCTAAGGTCCGGTGGAAATATTAATAAAAGAAAACAGAAAACAGTTTCTGGAAATACTGCTAGAGGACGAAACACACAAGTGATGATGATTCGTGGAGCCGAGTTTCAAATTTTCAGTTGAAGGGTTTCCTTTGGATCGGCTATTGCCGCTTCAAATGAAGGAACACGAGAAAGCGTTAGAAAAAATCAAAGAGAGAGATGGCTGATGAAATTTGATGGAATGGAGCAGTGGAGCACCATTCCGTTCATGCTGGATTTACGGGGATATTTGATGGGATGGACCTCGATTCCTCGACACCCCTCAGCTTTTGTCAAACTCAAGCAAAGAAGCCCAAGGAAGGGTGAAATCCCCGCTTAGTACGAACGAAACGAGGTAAGGCAGCCATCTGGCCCGGCTTTCAACCGTCAAACCGGCATTTAACAAACTTTTGAAATCGGCCATGACAAACACGCTTCAAAGAGACCAACCATAATCAGTTTTTTTTTTTTAATCCCTCAAAACCCACAAATCTTCCCCATAATTAAGCAGGAAATTTTGAGCAATTCAGTGTTTGAAATGACATGCTGATGGGATTTCTCATAGTTTGCTTGGATTTTGGTTTTTGCCATACGGTTCTTCAAATCAGAGTAGTTATAAATGATCTTACTGGAGCAGTTAGCTTCACTTTCCTAGACAAACATTACTTACCCAAGCTTACAGTTCGAAGCATTTCCAGAGGAGAAGATTCAAGTTTGCTTGATGAAGAAGAATCTAAGAATGGCTACAACTAAAAGCCTCGGGGGCGCTTCTTCAGGAATTCCATCTTCCTTCTTCAAGGTTTTCCTTCCTAATGTCAGCTCAGAACGATTGGTACTTTCCTTCTTTACTATTGCTTTGTGTTACATTGTTGTGGGATCCTTTAAATGAAACTCCAATTGCAGTACTGGTGGCGTTCTGAATCGTTTCTTAACTGTTTGCAGAAAATCCCACCAGCATTCTTGAAACACATGCAAGGCCAAACCTCTGGAACCGTTTCCTTAACAGGTCCAAGTGGGAACGTATGGCTTGTCAATTTGATTGGGACTACTGACGGGTTGTTTCTTGAACAAGGTTGGAACATCTTTCTGAAGGATCATTTCATAGAATTTGGCGATTTCTTTGTTTTCAGATACGATGGGAATCTGTGTTTTGATGTGCAAGTATTCGATCAAACTGCATGTGAGAAAGAAGCTGCATTCCGCGCCAAATGTAGCCAAGTCAATGGCGATTTTGTACAGTATAATGGGATGAAAAGAGTGAGAGGCAAGGAACCAGAGATCGTGTATGGATCATCACTTAAGCCTTTTGAGGTTGTGATCAAGAGGAAGAGAGTTAGCTCTCCTCAAGTCACTCAATTTAGTTCGGGAGGGGAAAAGTAAAAACAACTAGTAACGTAATCGTTTCTGATGAGAGTGAATGTCGAAGAGAAGAAGCAGCTGCGACTAAAACAAACCAAGAATCTGGCTTCCTAAGTGAAAGAAAACGGGGAAGGCCACGGAAGATTTTTGCTAGCTTGAAACGATTCTCTCCTTCAGATAATGCTTGCGACAATTACCGAGGTACGAGTGATGTAAAAACTCCGAGTTGATTCACAATGAAACGTATATTAGTATGTGTTTGTACATGCCTAGTATCTGATTCAGATGTAATCTATAATTTTGAGAATGTCATTGTAACCTGTCAACATGAATATGCTCCCTTTAATATCTAATAAGATGAGCTTGTGAAACTATGCAGGGCTAGTCAACCGAGAAAAAGTCAATATAGAAGATGTTGAACTGCCTGCTTGTGAGATGGGTTCATATGTCGGAGGCTATTTTCCATGGAGGAAATTGACATCTCAAGAGACAAGAGAAGAAGTTCAGAGAGCAGCTTTGTCTTTTTCTTCCGAATTCCCTTACGTTGTGAGTTGTATGAAGAAGTATAATGTGGGAGTGCCCTCTGTTCTGGTAAAGTTTGTTTAATTTCTTTGCTTCCTCCTATTGCTCTTATAGTGAATGTTTTTAATTATTGATTCAATAAGCGGTTGGTTACCAAAAAAAAAAAAAGATTCAATAATCGGTTGATATTTTATTTGCAGTAGATATGTTTATATAAGGGAGCTACAATTAGTGTGGCACCTAAAACTCCAACTTCCTGACCCTTGGATCTTCAAACTTGAATTTAGATGGCCTTTGTATTCTGCGTCATGGAATTGTTTGATTACGACATTATAGGATACTTTATGTTTTCTCTACCTTTTCCCCTTGTCTTATCGATTCATGACAAAATGTTAGGATTTGAAGATCCACTTATATGGGAATTAGCATTTTAGCTATGCTATTGGATATTGAGGTAAGGAATCTGATATACTTTAGTTCTTTTGAGCTTTGGTGTTGTAAGGAAACATGATTGTGGTTTGATGACAACAAGAAATAGAGATAAACAATATAAAATCACAACCACAAGAATGCAGGAGTTTATGTGGTTGGCTCTGCAAACTGCCAACATCTACTGAAAAAGATGAAAAAATCCATTAAATATTTGGGGAGATAATAATGAATATCAACCAAAAAGAGACAAAAAGTAACTGTCTTCCCCAAAACATAACTTCCTTCTCAAAGCCATATTCGTCCAAAGAGATACACTTCTTTGATACCAATCTCAAAAGAAGGATCTCTACACCAAAACCTTGGAACTCAAACATGGGCTACAAACTGTGTAGAACCTCAAAACTTGCAGCCAAAGAACAGCTGGTGAAGAACCTCCTACAGATTATATCTTGGGTTTGCTCCCTACTTATATGATGTTTCTCTTTCCTATCCCCACTCAAGTACCAGCTCTGCTGGAAAACAGATAGAGAGACTTTTTGTGGCAGGGTTGGAAAGAGGAGTTCAAAATTCAGTCATCTGGAATAAACTGTCACCCTAAATCTAGGGGAGGTTTGGGGGTTAGAAGCTTAAATTCATTTAAGACTGCAGTGATTGGAAGTGGTTTTAGGGTTATAATGAGGAAAGGATAGTTTATGAAGGCAGATCATTAATTTGAAGTATGGGTCAGGGGATGGAACCTGGGATCCAGGGGAGAATACTGCTCCATACAGTTGTGCTCTTTTGAGAGGGATTCAGAAGTCCTATACTAAATTCATGAAGGGAATCGGTTAAAGATTCTTTGCCTCAGTTTTATCAATTAGCCCTGAACAAGGAAGCATGGATGGCTAATGTGTTCAGATCCCATGGAGACTCAACTTGTTGGAATCCCACCTTCAGGAGAAGCTTTAATGATTGGAAGTTGGACCTGTTAGTAGAATTGCTTAAAAAGATTTACTGTTACATGCCTGATAGAGAAATGATGGAGAGGAGAGTTTGGAGGTGGAACAGACCAGGAAAGTTCAGTCAAGTCTTTATACAACATTTAACTTATTTAAGGGGAGAGAGATACTTCTCCTGTTTCAAGGGTATGACAATCAATTGCTCCCCCAAAGGTAGCATTTTTATGTGGATAACAGTACTTAACAGGGTTTTTACGATTGATAATTTTTTGAAGAGAGGCTTGGCTGTTAACCATACCCTTTGTTCTATGTGCAATGAGTGCCCTGAATCTGTAAATCACTTATTTCTTCACTGCAGGTTGGTTTGGAGAATATGGTGCAGAGCAGAATGTTCAATTTCTTTGAAGTGAAGTTATGTTTACTGAAAATCTGGAGGATCTATTATGAATCTGGCATTGTAGAGATAAAGAGAGTTAGCCGATGAGGCTTTGTATTTTTACCTCTTGCTGTATTTTATTTTATCTTGTACACCAAGGACAATTTGGTCCTTTTACAGTTTAATAAAAATATCTTTCTTAAGGTGTCAACCTCTCCATTGGACACACCCACAAATCTGCTGCTGTCTCTCCTTTTTCTTGGGTTTACAGACTTAGATCAGACTCTGACGGGCATTTGGCTGGCTTTAGCAGAAAACTTAAGGTTGTTTGGAGGGTGATCCCTCTGATAGTGATTTGGACTACTTGGACAGAGAGGAATAATCACATATTCAATGATTCCATCTTAACAGAGGAATTGATGATTAAATCTCTGAGGTAGATTGCATTCTTAAATAGCAGTGCACAGGGTGTTTAAAGGAATTCCACAGGGATTTTTGTGATTGGAGGTCTGTTCTTGTATCTAGCATATAGAATCTTGTATACTTTTTGCATAGTGAAATACTTTTATACTGTCTCTCTTCGCTCCTTGCAATGAGGTTCTTTTTGTTTAACATAATACCTATACCCTTTTCCTTGTACCAGAAGAAGAGTCCAATAGGAAAGTGATTAGTTTTTAAATAGGAAACTTTGAAAGAGACCATTTAACTTGCCTCTGAATTCAAGGCATTGTTCCCAAGTTCCCAACTGTTGGCTTTGTTTTGACACTCCAAGCTAAATGATGAAAGCATTCCAAATTACTTGTTTATGCTAAAGCTTGATAACTGCAAGACTGAAGGGATGATATTGGCACCAAAAAAATCTGTTGATCTCCACCCTTTGTATCACCAACTCTACAGCACATGTAAGCAAGAATCATAAAAGCAATTCATTCTGTTGGTATTCCATATCATTCTTAAGGATGGAAGCAAACCATTAAAAACGGCCATTACGCAATGTTGCTCCCATCTGTCTGGGGTCTTAGCATGGTTGATTGGATATGGACCTAACCTTTGAACAAATACCTCTGTGGCAAAGAAAAAATAATACCTCCCCTAACCAAAGAAAAATCCTGCACTCCTACTACATGGAGGACTTGTCTGCATGTGCTCTCATATTTTAACCACTTGGAGGGATGGGACAGACAATCCAGCTTCATCAAATAGGGTGGAATAACAACTTGCTCACTTCTCCAGTCCATGTCAAGTCTACCATATGAGTTACATTTAGCCCTAACATCTAAGAGAATGTAAATTTACTTCCACTGAGATACTATGTTAGAACTTGTTCTTTAATGAGCTAATGGTTGGTATTTTTTTTTTCCAATTTTTCTGTTTCTAAGGACTTCGACAATAAAACGGTATTTTCCTTCTCTTTTTTTCCTTTTTATTTTTATTGGACAATGCAAATGCAGTTTCAATTTAAGATATTCTAGTACAACCTATTTACTGTTTTGCGAATATATGATTTCGTTGCTACTTTTAAATTTTGACAATCTTCAATTCTCGTACTTCCTTTTTACACCCTGATGCCTTTTCATTTACCATGCCTAATGTTATTGTTTGTTATTTTTTAGTGACTGTATATTGGTCATGCAGCATTTCCCAATTTGCTTTTCTAGAGTATATTTTCTTGGATTTGGAAAGAATACACAGATTATCCTCCATGTCTTTGGATGGTGAACTTGGTCTGCTCTGGGGAACAGTATTATTCTTTCTGTGGAGGGTGGCCTAGTTTTGTACATGGTAACAAGATTCTAGAAGGAGATGTCTGCATTTTAGAACTTGTGGATAAAACTGAAATGTGTGCCCATATTTTTCGGTTGGCTGAGAAAGTACCTAATGATAGAACCTGAAGTCTCTAATTATTGAGGTCGTTTGCCACATTCCTGGTTTTTGGTTGAGTTGGGTCTCATTGTCACCTACTTGTATATTAGGCTTTCAATCAGTTGTTATTGTTATATACATGTTCTATAAGGACAGTTTATGCTGATGGTGGATAAACTGAGCTATACATGTATGGTGGATGCCACATATTTTGTATAACATATGGTGACAGAGACATTGTTGGATTTTAATCTCGTAAGAGATTAAATCCAATGGGTTTGATTGGTCAATTTCATGAGAATTTGCACCTGCACACTTGATTGAAAAAATTAGCTTTTCTCTTACAAAAACCCAGTTTTGAACTTGTCCCACATTGGAAAATTATAAGCTTTGTTTTCAGTATTTCAATAGGAGCTGATTTACACTCCTTAGAAATAGTAGAGGAGAGTATGGGGGTTTGATACCGCGCAGCGCGCACGCACGCGTGTGCGCGCGTGTGTGCGGCGCAATGAGGCGCTTTAGAGGCACACTTTGCTTGCACTTCGCGTGGCTCGCGAAGGGCGGCTTTGGTTTTGGTGCGTTGTTGACCGTTGATCACCATTGATGAGATCAACGGTCACGATTCAATCGGGTGTGATCAAGAGGCACAATTCAAAGTTAACAATCATTAACTGTTAACTACTTTTTAAACAGTCACAATGTTTGAAATTGTGACTGTTCAAGGTGCCTTCTCTGAACCAGCACCTACCTTTTCTTCATACATCTTCATAAACTATTTAAGGAGCATGAATCAGACTCCAAAAACACACAATTTCGAAATTCACTTTCTCTCTCTCTCTCAGTCCAGTCTGCTTCAGTCTCACAGAAGGTTTCTTCGGAGATTCTTCAACTTTGCTAGTTGCAGATTCTCGCCTAAGGCTCTGTTGTATCTTGGGAACGGATTTGCCTATAACCCAACAGCAAACTCAGTGAAACTAAGTGGGGGCAAATAACGTTCTAAAGACAGTGTCTTCAGACGTGCCTTAGAGCTTCTCCTCCAAAGTTACAGTGACCCCATTTCCCAACAGACATGATATTTACTGGTTTTATATTATGCATGGAATCTTAAGAAAAATTACCATGAAAGCTCACAGTTGTCAGCCCAACATTTTACCTTGGCACCAAGCAACATTTTACCTTCTAAAAAAGCAACTTTTTGAAATGAGATTTTTGAAAAATCACTTTTTTAGTTTTTGTCTCAAAATAGTTTCTTGCAAATGTGAAATGTTGCTTTCCAACCCTTTAGGAGCAATTTAGGGCACCTCTTGGTGATGGGTTCCATCAATTTGTCCATTCAATGAAATAGTTTTGTATTCTGCATCATGGAATTGTTTAAGGCTGCATACATCTGTCCCTCTTGGTGGGAGCCTCATGCACTGGGCTGCCCTTTATCATGGAATTGTTTACATTAAGACATTGTAGGATACTTTATGTTTTCTCTACCTTTCCCCCTTGTCTTATTGATTCATGACAAAAGGTTAGGATTTGATGATCCACTTGCATGGGAATTATCATCTTAGCTATGCTATTGGATATTGAGGTAAGGAATCTGATATATTTTAGGTGATGTTTGGTATTACGGCTGTTTCTATTTGAAAAGCTGCCACATCAGTGACACCTACGTGTTTTGAGTTTATACGTTTGTTTGTTGTTTGGATGAGACTATATTGAGTTAAAAGAGTCATAAAACATTTCTAATGGAAACATAAACCAGGCGTGTTGGGGGGAACATCAAATTGATGTTTCCTTCACTGGCTGCCCTTTTGAAGAAATAGTCCAATGACCTGGATCTTAGTTGGCATCCTACATGGCAGTTTAGAGATATATTTTGGTGCATCACATGCTAGAAAAAATGGGTATACACTATTGAGTACCCATAAAACCTCCAAAAGAAAGACTCTTTTTTTTGGGTCTATGCTTCTAGATCCATCAGATCCGAGGTTCAAAGTATTGATATACCCGACATGCACCAACATGCATATTGGGCGTTATTGATGTTTAAAAACATAAGTTTTTGGAAATTCCTTAAAAAAGTTGTCTCAGTGAAGCCACAATACAATATGATATGCCTGATACAGACCATATTGTGTCAAAATTTTGAACCTTGATCAGAGCAGCATCTAGATGTTAATCTATGTGTAATAATGAGCCAATAATCAGAAAACGATTATTTATTTATTTATTTTAAATTTGACCATTTGGATGAGATTTAGTATATTTGGGTAGTGTCACACTGAATATAAACATTTCATTTAAACGTTTTAGGTTATTAGGTAGCAATGCCAACACCAAACACAACAATGCTCAAAACACTTGTTCAATGCTTAGTAAGCATAAGTACCTGTTGAAACATTAAGATGCAGAGATGGACGGCTGATACTTGGGCAGTCTAAACCTACACATAAAAGAAGAAAGAATAGCAGCCACACAAAATGGGATCCGAGACACCAAACTCTCAAACAAAACGTAAGAGAGAACAGCTAAATCTGGATGGGGCCAAAAATTGGAGGTTACTTGACCTTCCAAGATATCTTATTTTCTTCTTATGTACTATCATTATGAGATAGCAATATATATGTCTCAATCCAATGTTCCCTTCCTTGTTTTGAGGAGGGAACTTAACCAACTTGAATGTTTGGGGGAGACCAAGTCAAGGCCTCTCCAGATTGAGACAAGTGTCTCATTGACCAATGATCTAACCACTTGGTCATCCAGCCTAGACCAAGCCAAATGGATATCCATTGACCCAGTAAGAACTGGAACTAGGATCCAAAGTAATCCAGTAGTATCGGTATCTCTATGCATAAAACATTTTTTAGTAAACAATCAAATAAATTTATTTTTATAGAAAATAAATAAATAGATAATAATTTAAGAAAAAATAAAGAAGTGAATGATTGTGTATGAAGGTGTTGCATAGAGATAACCATGAAATAATCATCTTCCATCAACATGTGGCTTGTCACATGGCCATTGGATATTCCAACATGTTGAGGATCAAACGAGGGCCTATGGCCACTCTACCATCAGTACCGACCAAACAAATTTCATGTCAAAGTGCCTGCGTTGGCATCTTGACATGAAATGTAATTTCCTCTCTAAATGTTTGATCCTAAAATGGTAATGTTACCAAACACAACCTTAGTTGTCTTGAGTGTTGGTTTTGTGCGGAAACATGATTATGGTTTGTTGGAAATAAGAAATAGTGAAAAATAATATAAAATCACAACCACAAGAATGCAAGATTTTACGTGGCTGACTCTTCAAACTGCATCTACTGAAAAAAATGAAAAAAAATCCAATAGATATTTGGGAAGATAATAATGAAACAAGTGAAAAAAAGCCAAAAGGTAACCTCTTCCTCAAAACAATACTTCCTCCTCAAAGCAATATTCTTCCAAAGAGACGCATTTCTTTGACACCAATCTCACAAGATGGATCTCTACACCGAAATCCCGGAACTCAAACATGGGTTATAAACTGTGTAGAACCTCAATACCTGCACCTAAAGAACAGCTGGTGGGGAACCTCCTACAAAACACTAAAGTCTCTCCTCAATTAATAACCAGAGTATGTATTTGTATATGTAATAGGACCCTTTCCTTTTCCTTGTACCAGAAGAAAGCTCCAATAAGAGAGTGGTATTGGTTTCCAAAGAGGAAACTTAGATACCATATGACTTGCCTTTGAATTCAAGGTACTTTTTCCAAGTTCCTAACTGTTGACTTTGTTTTGGCATTCCGAGCTCAATGATGAAAGAACTCCAAATTCCTTGTTTATGCTGAAGCTTGATGACCACAATACTGAAGGGATGATTTGGTCCATCTGATCTCTACCCTTTTGTGTCAACAATGCTACAGCACATGTAGGAAACTATCATGATAGCAACTCGTTGTGTTGGTTTTCCATGTCAAAAGGAGGATCTCTACACCAAAATCCTAGAACTCAAAAATGGGCCATAAACTGTGTAGAACCTCAAAACATGCAAGCCAAAGAACAGCTGGTGGGTAACTTCCTACAGAGCACTAAAGTCCATCCTCAACTAATAATCATAGTATGTATTTGTATATGTAATAGGACCCTTTTCTTTGTACCAGAAGAAAACTCCAATAAGAAAGTGATATTAGTTTCTAAAGAGGAAATTTTGAAAGAGACCATGTGACTTGCCTTTGAATTCAAGGTATTTTTCCCAAGTTGCTAACTGTTGACTTTGTTTTGGCATTCCAAGTTCAATGATGAAAGAACTCCAAATTCCTTGTTTATGCTAAATCTTGATGACTGCAATACTGAAGGGATGATATTGGCACCAAATCATCATCTGATCTCTTCCCTTTTGTGTCATCAGCTCTACAGAACATGTAAGCAAGTATCATAATAGCAGCTCGTTATGCTGGTTTTCCATGTCATTCTTAAAGGTGGATGCAAACCATTAAAAAAGGCCATTACCCAATGTTTGTCCCATCTGTCTGGGGTCTTGGACCTCTGTGGTGAAGAACAAAAACATCCCTTAACTGAAGAAAAAACCCATACTCCTACTACATATATTAGGAAAATTTTTCATAAATGAGTTGTTGAGATTTCTTGTCTGCATATCATATTCTAACCACTTGGAGGGATACACAGACAATCCAGATTTGTCAAATAGGGTGGAGTAACAAGTTATTCATTTCTCCAGTCCATGTGAAGTCTATTATATGAGTTGCATTTAGCTCTAATATCAAAAGCATGTAAATGTAGTGGTCATGCAGTATTTCCCACATTTCTTTTCTAGAGCACATTTTCTTGGATTTGGAAAGAATACACAGATTGTCCTCCATGTCAAAGAAAAACTTTGGATGGTGAATTTGATCCGCCATAGGGAACAGTATTTTTCTTTCTGTGGAGGGTGGCCTAATTTTGTACATGATAACAAGATTCTAGAAGGAGATATCTGCATTTTAGAACTTGTGGATAAAACTGAAATGCGTGCCCATATTTTTCGGTTGGTTGAGAAAGTACCTAATGATGGAACCTGAAGTGTTCAATTGTTGAGGTAGACTACAAGAAGTGGCTTCCATGGTAAATCAATGCTCTGGGAAAGTTGCATTAAAAAGTAGTATTTTGGTCCTTCGCCACATTCCTGTTTTTTGGTTGAGTTGGGTCTCATTGTCACCTACTGGTATTGCTTTAGTCTTTCAATCAGTTGTTGTTATTGCACATGTTTTATATGGGCACCTTATGCTTATTATGCACATTGTAAACATGAAACATTTAGGAATTAGCAAAGGAAAAAACAGACACCATATAAAAAGTGACTGAGCTATTACATGGGTGGTGGATGGCACATATTTTGTATGGCATATGGTGGCAGATGCATGATATATTTGCTTGTTTTATCTTATGCATATCACTAATCTAAGTTGTCCTTATACACAAGTATATTTAACCAATTAAGTATATAACCATTTTTATTCTTACTAAAAATATCTTCAAAATTACAAAACCCTATTTTCTTGGGGTAACAGATGGCAATTCTTGAAACAGGGCAATAACCCAGAAAATGGAAAAAGTCATGAAAAATTCATTTATTTTCACTACACACACAAATGGGTCAATTTAGGGCACCTCTTTGGTAGTGTTCCATGGTGTTCCTGGAACAAAAGAAAAAAAAAAGAACAATATTTTTGCTACTGGGAGCACTAGAAACATTCTATTGGAGTTAAAATGATGGATCTAGAAAAAGCTGCTTCTGCAGGTGAAGGGTGAACTGTTGTTATCATTGTTTAAGAGAATCCATTGATTCCAAAATACCAAGGGAAATGCCCATTTCCTTTGTATATGCCTAGCATTTCTTTATGTTAAAAATGGGATTATGTACACTTAAATTCATTTCCAAGCATGGCCCTGCTTGGTAGGTGCTAGACAAGTAGACATGTGATGATATACCTGGGGCAAGGACTTACAATGTTGGGCGTTTGGTCAATTTGGGTATGTTGCTGAAAACAAAAATGTGGGATAAAGGGCGTTTCCCTAACAAAAAGCCTAGCTAATATCAATCGAGTCAGGGCTTGCTTTTGGTTTGAAAATGGGTTTTGTTGTTGCATTGTGCCTTTTCAGTAGGTGTTTTATCGAGTACTTGGTTGCACACCTGACCCTATTTGGTGGGATGGTGGGTTCAATCTCTTTGTACATTCAATGATTGCAGAAAGCCTTCTCACTTACTATCTGTTGTTTATCCACAAAAATTCTCTACCAGTCCCAACAAATCCAGTACTTGGAACTCAACAGTCTGAACAAATCCAGGCCGTTATATCATTATTTCATGCTGGTAGCCTTCAAGTTACCTCCTTTCCCATGAAAAATAGGGTCCGTTTGTTTTGCAGTCAGAATCAGAATCAAAATTCTATGGAATCGGAATTAGAATAGTCTATTCCCATGGCCTGTTTTATTCAGACAGGATTGGGAATGGAAATTGAAATTAGTATGAATGTGATTTCATTCTGAAGAAAGGGGAGGGGATGACCATTCCCTCAAATGGGAGAATGCGAATGCCAATCCAACCAAACAGTTAGAATTGGAATGAATAGCTCATTCCAATTCTCAGACCCCTATTCCCATGAACCAAACGGAGCCTAATATTAACCAGGGTCCCCTCTAAATCAACCTAAAAACTAGCTTTAACCCATTTCTGCAACGACGTGCTTTTAGTACATTCATTTGGAGTTTAGACGGTACTGTAAACTGTAAGGCTCAGTTTGGGATGATTTCAAATACAATTATGTACATTCATTTGTACAAATACAAATGTGTATAGAAACCAATGTACAGTACAAATATGTACATTTATTTGCACTGTACATTCATTTGCACTGTACAATTCGGACCCAATCTGACAAGTTCGATTCGAGCCAATCCATGACTTGGCGGACCGTATAGCATCACACGTAAGCATCAGTCTGTATCTGTCCGATTTCACCATATTCACATCTGCGCCCCACAAGGGGGCGCCCCACAATGCCCCACAGAACATCCCCACAAACATCTCCCGAGCAAAAAAGGTATTAAAGTGTTAAACAAAAATGGAATTTATAGCCAGCTCGGATAAAGGACTGTCCTCCGGACACGTGTGTGGCATTGCACCTGTTCGAGAAGCCTCCCATGAGTTGGCACTTTGTTCTGTGATTCCTTCTCGAGAGTTGTTTGTTTTTACTTTTCTGCTCGAGCCGATGCTCGTCGGTGGAGACGAGAGTCGAGAGCTACAGAGGTGATAATGGTAGAAAAGTAGGGTTGCAGATAGAGAAGGTTGACGGGAGAGGATGAAACCGGAGGGAGCGGGTAGGGTTGACCGAAGGTTGGAGGTGGAATATGTTTCCATTATCCGGACTAACTGACCTGCTCTGCTGCTGCTGCTGCAGAGTGGTAGGGGAGAACGGAATACCTCACAACCCATACCTGGTTTTTCACCGGTGAGAAAACAACGACCGACGCCGGGCATTGTGTTTGCCAATGGGAGAATAGGGAAGATAAAAACCGGTGGTGCGGCTACCAGTGGGTGGGATTGGGTTGGAAGCTTGCTGTTGGGTTCCGGTTCCTCAGAAGTTTTCAAGACATAGCTTGACGGGAAGTAACATTGCTCTCGCACAACCGCAACCACGCATTATCCCAAGTATTGACTTCAGGATAGGTGATACAAGTAGCCGTTGTTAGTAGCAGATACAGATTCTTTCAGTCACGCATTGTCTCGATCAAGTTAGGGTCCTGAGTTTGAAGAGATTAGAGATCCCCATTAGAAAAGACAAAGCTTTCATTTTTATTTTTAATTTTTTCCACTTCCCCTTTCTTTTACGGTTTTACTTGGACTAATGGCGGGAAATAAGGGATGCTGTCCAGAGCGAAGACCTCATTTTTTCAAGGTTTTCCTCCCAGAACTTAACTCCGAACGGCTGGTAATTTCTCTTTTTTTTCTCCCCCTTCTAGCTATTATTTGACACATTTTTTTTAATGGGATTTCAGTTAAATTATCGATTGACCGTGCTTAATCTTTTTGTTGCAGCAAATTCCATTAGGTTTTTTGAAACACCTGAAAGGCCAAACCTCTGGGACTGCCTACTTAACTGGTCCAGGTAAGAACGTTTGGCGGGTCGACTTGGTTAGGAGGCGTGAGGGCTTGTATTTTGAACATGGTTGGGAGGTTTTTCTAAGCGACCACTCCTCCCAATTTGGTGATTTCTTTGTTTTCAGATATGACGGTAATTTGCATTTTACTGTTCAAATATTTGATCAAAGTGGATGCATCAAAGAAGCAACTTTTAGGGCCAAATGCAATCAGGACCAAGATAATAAAGATGTCGTGAAGAACAATGGAAAGAAGAGAAGGCAAAATGAAGAGTTACCACCAGCTGCCTCTTCAGATGAGGTTTGTGCGGTTTCCCGAAAAAGGATTAAAGGGTCCTCTCATGAAGTTGATTCAGTTTGTACGATGAATAAGAGGGCAGCTGAACCCCTGAATGAATCCGTTAAAAGTGCTTTGAAGAAGAAGGCCCACAAGAAGAAGGACGGGGAGGATGCAGTGAAACACTCATTGGTTGAGACTTTGGCTAGTCCCCATGGAAGCAAGAAGCAGACACCTTGTCGCGCTGGCCTGCATTATTCATCTTCTCTAAATGATTCTCATAAAGTAAGCAAGTACCATCAACGCACTGTCTTGGATGCTTGTTCAGATGAGGTTTGTGCAGTTCCCCGAAAGGGGATTAGGGGGTCCTCTCATGAAGTTGATTCAGTTTGTACAATCAATAACAGGGCAGCTGAACCCCATGATGAATCTGCTAAAAGTGCACTGAAGAAGAAGGCCCACAGGAAGGAGGATGATGCTGTGAAAAACTCATTACTTGAAAGCTTGGATGGCCCCCATGGAGGCAACAAGCACACACCTTGTCCAGTTGGCCTGCATCATTCAGTTTCTCAAAATGGTTCTCATAATGTACGTAAATACTATCAGCGTACTGTATCGCCATCCTCAAAGAAGATACATGCTGGTTCGAGCAAAGGAGATCAAATAAAATTTCTTCATTTAAATTATTCAAATACCAAGAAAGCTATTCGGAGTAGAGAATGTGAGATCTTGATCCTTTTCATTTTTCTTATTTCTATTTTGTCTGAAAGAAGATGCTTTTAAAGAAGATATATATTGTCTCATGATCCTTTTCAATTTTTAACCAAGACTATTCTTGAGTCATGTGATCTTTAATTTGTCAATGCCTTACCTGCAGCAATAACTACCAATGCATCGGGATATTTAGTTTCGCAAAGACGAGATGTCTCAATTGAAGAAAGAAAAAGGGCATTGGAAGCAGCTGATGCATTTAAGACAAAAAATCCTGCTGTTGTAATGGTTATGCGAGCTTACCATGTCTGTACCGGGTTTTACCTTGTTAGTTCCTATCTTCCAAGGGATTCATTTCAATGTGTTGTCATGAGTTATCTCTTGCTTATTGCCTTTACTCTCTTATTGCACAGAAGTAACTTGTTTCTTAGTGTTAAAATGAAAGAAACTATAAAAACTTCTCTGGATAGATGGGACCATTATCAAATAATAATTGGTTCAAGTATTACAAAAACTGTAATGTGTATCAAGACTGTGCTTTAGATGAACATGTGGAAGTGGAAATGCAGTTGGTAAATTGAATTCTTTCTATTGTACCCAAAAAAAGGAATCCTTTTGCTGAGAGGATTCTCAGTCGGAAATTACTGACCACCAACTGTCTCAAAGAAACCAAATCCATGAATCCATGGACTCTCTATCAGAAATCACTCCAATCCCTTTTCAATACTGACAAAAATTTCCTTTTAACATGATAGTTGTCAATTAAGATCTAGGTTGCATATGTAATCATCTCACTACAAACTGTAAGTAACAAGAACTCACTGTCTTTTTTATTCACATTATGGAGAACATCATCAGCTCCTCTCACAAGTTTCATTGGAAGGAAGTATTTTCATGACCAGCCCAAAAATTTATACTACCTATAAAAGAGTGAATTCCCCCTTTTTCTGGAATTTTCATTGGATGTTTTCTATCCCTCTTGTCTAAGCACACAGCGGGCATAAAGAGGGCATATATGTCCTATACTCTCACTTCAGAAACTGCCCACTCATAACTGTTCAGAAACTACCCACTTATAAGTTATAACCGTTCAGAAACTGCCCATGAATTATAAATAGTTTTGTCTTAGAGATACTGCCACGTGCAAATGCACTTACACGTCTACTAGTATATCTAAAAGAGCTATAGCTACAAAGATCCTTACAAAACAAGTCTTTTCTCTCTTCCCAATTCTCATAGCTCTCTCCACTACAGGGCACTTTCATCAGATTCTAAACATCTCTAGTTGATAGAGTATTTAGTGGGAGGCAGGTCCCAGAATGTTAGGTGACATAGTTTCCATAAAGATCTCCTAAAACATAGGTCAATGTCCCATGCCATTGACATAAGGGCGGTTGATTCCTCATAATTAGTCAACAACAAAGACCCATAGACTCTACCAAACATATATAAGTTGTCTCATCATCACTTCATCATTGAAGCCTTATCCCAACTATATATGGGATCGAATTAACATATAACTAGTCTAAGTAATAAAACATCATTTGACAGTTGTGAATTAAGGGGAAGATGACATCTATGGTACATGGGTAAAAATGTATGTTAAATAATTCAGGTTTGTTAAGATGATCAAAAAACTAATTCAGGAACCACTGGCTTATTTGGATGAAAAAAAATGTAAAAATAAGTAAGCACATTGAAAGGAAAAGAACAAAAGGTATTTCAACTCTGCTGCAGATGCCAAAAGCTGATATATTGTATTTTACTATGGCTACTAAAACATATATGGGATTTGAAGATAAAGGTATTTCAAAGCTTAAATGAATAGTTGAGATTGTTGGCCTGATGAGATAGGACACAAGCCTTAAAGGATTTAATAAATTAACCACTATGGAAGAAGCTAACATTTTGAAAACTTTTTAAAGAAATAGATGATAATAATTTTGAATAATATTTGAAAACTTTTTAACAATAAAATGTCAAGTTGTTGTATAATAGCTAAACAGAAAACAGCCATGTACCAACTGATAATACTTATTGCCAAGTTAGAAAATGAAATCCTGTGAAGGTCTGTCTGAGCTTTTGATGCGCCCTTCAACCTCAACCTTTTATATGACATGCTGATGGAGCTGAAGAGCAACCGGTAAAGGGATTTCCTCATCAACATTATCCCCTTCCACATATGGACGCATGCTTCCTTTAACTGCAGGTTTCCCTTCAGCCCCTTACTCATTGTGCAATATGAATTTCACCGAGGCCTTAAAAGAAACTGATCAGACTCTTATGAATCTAAGGTCATTTGCAGGCTTTTTTTTTTTTTTTTTTGTCTTCTTTCCATGCTTATGAACTGTTGAAAAAAAATCCAGGATTGAGAAAGAGAGCAAAGCACTACATTTTTTTTTGCCACTTGAATATGATTGTTCTGTCACCACACCAGTGAATAAGAAACTTGTAGTTCGAAGCTCATGGGGTTTCCCTTAATATATCCAGTTGGCCTATTTTCCTTTGTTTTAGAATTTTGTACTGTTAGTTTACATTCAATTACTTGTTTATCTCTTGTTATGCTCTCAACACTGACAATCTAACTAAAATCTCTGTTGCATGTAGGGTCTTCCAAACGATTTTGTAAATGACTGGCTTCCTCAAGAAAGTCAGGAAATGATTTTGTGGGATCCAAATGGGAAGCCATGGCCTGTGAAGTACATTAACCGAGGCGGTCTTAGCGGTGGCTGGGGTACCTTTGTACGTCATAACAATCTTGAAATAGATGATGTCTGTGTTCTTGAGCTGATTAAACCAAACGAAATGCAGGTACATATATTCAGGGTGGTACCAGAGATAACACCATTGATCAGGTGCCGCACAATGAAATAAGGGTGCTAAACATTATTTATAGTGTGTTGCGTGCATTCATTTGTTATTCGTATACATTCCTCTATTTCTTTATTATCCTTGTTTCATTTTGTTTTCTTTTCCATGGCACCTTGATAATTTGTCTTTATAACTAACAAAGAGTTGTGTTACTGATTAAAAAAAGTCATGTTACCTGATTCTGATCTAATTTATCATGGTGCCATCGATTTCAAGCTCTCATTACCATATAATACCATTTAGGAAATAGGAATGCAGATTAGTTATTATTACTCACGACTGCAGGACCCCTGCTTACCATTGATTCAAATGCATTTTCGTAGGTTTTTAATTTGTTTTCATTCAAGGATTTCATGTAGAAATTGTCGAACATTGAATGTTTTCGATTATGAGAGTTGAGTTCACATAACCGATACTGAGTGATTTATTGTTTCTTCTTCTGGAGTTGGTTTCAGAGTGACAACAAGCGTGAGAACATGGGTTTGGGTAGGTTTTTATCCAATATACTCCCGACTGTTGATAGCTGAGGCTAGCATTGGGTGATGCAGAGTAATGGGTCAGCCAACTACAGTTTGTAATGTAGTGGAAGGCCTGAAATCTTGAAATTGAGGACGGTGCTCTTCAAGCATTTTTCATTTGATGGGTCAGCCAATGTACCCCTCGACTGTTGATAATTTGTTTCATGAATTCTTTGTTACAAGCATTGTTTTCATGCACCCCCGACTTCAAATTGAGGAGCTACTTCGTTTTCTATTGATCAGCATGGTTGGAAAATATGTGAAAAGGTTTCATTTGATGGACTCTGCCTGTGCTGCAGCATTGCCATTATTTCTATTTTTTTTTTTCTTTTATGCGGGATTGTTTTTTAATGGAGAAAAATAAGGGAATGTAGGGTTAAGGTGAAGAAAGGGGCAGGACAAGCTCCATGAAAGAGGGAATTTCGATAGAAAGTGCAGGTGGAGTAGCGTTATTTTTTGGGCAAAAGAAGAGAAAACTATATTAATATCTAGCCTGTACATCTAACTACTCAAATCTGCCTGAGGGAACCGGTATCATAGTCAAACCATTTTATATATTATAACTACTTAACTAGCGGTGACCTATGCAATATACAGGTTTTGTTAAGTGAAAGTTTAACAATATAAATACATAAGAGTATATAATTATTTTATAATTTAATATTTTAAATAATTAGTGGGGACCCATGCGATACATGGACTTTGTTAAAAGAATTTTAAGTAAAAGGAGTTACAGGTGCAATTTGGGTGGACCCAACCTGAGTCTGATTCGGCTCAATCAAAGTTTTTTATAGGTTGGGTCTGAGTTTTTGAACTTTAAACTGGGCTTGGGCCAAAAACTCAAACCTAACCTAAACCTAGGCTGGGCTTGGGTTGAGGTATCGAGTAGCCCAACCTGATCTAACCCAATTTGAGCCTACCTAACATTTTATGATATACATATCGATATATTATTAATCTATTCTACTTAGAAATTGGACTATAAGGCTAAACACTGAAGCCCAAGCCCAGTTTGAGATGCTGGATTAAACTCAGGTTGGGCCTAGGTTGGTAAGAGAAAAATTACAAGTACTTTTCAATAATTAGTGATAGCTTGCAAATAAATAACAAAAATAAAATGACAATAATTACAAATAATTTACTAACCAAGGCCCAAGTTTACAAACCCAAGCTTAAGCCCAAATTACTAACCCAGGCCCAACCTAAGCTTAACCCAACATCTTGGGCTGGTTTTGGGATTAGGCGTGTTGAGTTTTATAGCCTAATTTTTCAAGTAGAATATATCGATAATATGTAGATATACATATCATAAAATGTTGGGCACACTCAAATTGGGTTAGGTCAAGCTTAGGCTACCCAAGCCTAACATGAGTTTAAGTTAGGTCTGAATTTTTTGGCCTACCCAGTTTGAAGTTTGAAAACTTAAGCCCAAATTGTACAAAAGCTTTGGTTAAGTTGGGTTGGGCTAAAGTTGGGCCCACTCAAGCTACACCCTTAAATCCCTTTGTTTCAAATTCTTTTGACAAAGCCCTTGCTTAGCACGACTTCCCACTAGTTTACCAAGAATTTTGTGTTGATTTCTACTTAAGGCTACAACTTGGACCGAGTTAGCCTGAATCCAACCCGAAAAGGTTGGGTTGGGTCGGGTCGGGTCGGGTTAATGCTCATGTTAGGGTTAGGGTTAGGGTTAAAATTTATGAACCCAACTTTACTTCGGGTTGGGTTAGGGTTGACCCCTTGGGCAACCCGACCCAATCCGAACCCAACTTTATAATACATATCATATATAAATATGTTATATATATGATCATGGATTGATTTGTTTAGATGCATGATATTTATATAGCCACTACCACATACTATCATTTATTTCATTTAAGATAATCACTCCACTTAATCCTAATTGGAAATACTAAAACCTTGATAACATATTTTATGTTTTCTAAGTATTTTATTCTTTATCTCCTCTCTATTGTTTGCCACCCATAGCTTGTTGCCCATAAAAGATCTATTATAAGTCATCATAATAAACTATAGTCATTTCAAACACTTTTTTTCTGAATTTTGTATTTAAAGAACCAATAAAAACATCAACAAACAAATACTAATAAAACACATGATTAATATATATAATGAAAGTTGAGTTAAGATCTAAGATTAAGAAGTTCTACAAGATTTTTAAGGGATGGGAAGAAGGTTGGGTTGGACCCAACCTAAAGTTGACTTTGGCTTGGGTGTTGGGTTAGGGTTGAAGGAATTTAGTTAGGGTTGGGTAGGTTGGGTTAGGGTTAGGGTTTGGGGTTTGGGGTTTAGAACTTAGGATTGGGCTAGGATTGGCCTCAACCTGACCTAACCCGACTTGACTTGCAGCCCTAAATTCTACTATTTCGTGGACATGGTAATTATTTACTAATAATTTTGTGCCAATTTTTACAATTTCATGGATATCTCTATTATTTATGATAATTTTGGCTAATTACTGGCAATTTATGAAGATTTCTGAAAATTTATCGCATTTTTTGAAAATCTATTGGTAATTTTGTGCTAAATTCTACTAATTTATGGTAATTTTTGTCTAGTTATTTAACTAAAAAATTGTGTAGTTTATTTCGTATTTTGTAATAATTTCTCTATTTATGTTACTAATAGAGTGTAAAATATAATAATAACAATAGTCACCAAAATACAAAAAAAAAGTTAACTAACAATAATTTGAAATAAATATGCAATAGTTTTCAAAACATAACTTTAAATGAAAGCGACTCAACTAGCAAAAGCCAAACACCCAAATCACGAATTCATCAACAAACATAATTAACAACAATAACTTTAATTTATAGTTATTAATTTATTACAGCTATTAATATTAATTTATTAGCAGTAATAATCATGAAAACAGTTATTAATTAGTAAATTTTATAATTGTTTATTTGTAAAAATTATTACTATTAATAACAGAAATATTTCTGGTAATATTAATAATATAAATAATTAATAAATACTATTTTTATTAATAGTAATATTCGTTAATATTAATAATTAATAAAACTAATATTATTAATTATTAAAACGGTAATAATTTTTGGTATCTTTTAATTAATCATGAAAATAATTAATTATTTTACATAATTAATAGCACTAATTTTAACAGTTATTAATAACACTAATTTTGGTATTAATAAAATGAAAACTATTAATTATTAAAAAATAATATATGTTGATACTTTTTAACTAATCATGAAAATAAATCATTCATGTTTTTAAGATTTATAATTAAAAATTATTTTTTAATAAAATGAAATTTAAAAATTATTAAAAGTAATAAAATATTGTTAATTTTATTTATTATTTTTTAATTTTCAATAATTATTGCTAATTCTACTAACGTTTGGTAAATTCTAGCTAATTGTGGTAATTTTCAATACGTGCTGTTAATTTCCATAGTTATCAAATTACTGAAATAACAAAAATTAGTGAATAAAAAATTATCATTATCATTATTACTATTCAATAATACTTGTTATTATTACTGATTTTCTCAAAATTAATAATTTCTGGGAATTTTTAAAAATTATTGCTAATTATTAGTAATTCATGGACCGGATCAAGATAAGCATATGGACCGGATTCGACCGGATCAAGAAACGGTCCGGAGTCCGGACCGTGCACGATAGTCCAAAATCAAATACATTGGAAGATTGGATTCGGTTTTGGAATCTGGATCGGATTGTAAAAACCCGAACCTTTAAACCCTTCTTCTTGACCCGCTTAATTAAAAGCTATAGTACTGGTCGCTCGATAGGGATCCATTGATACTAATGGCCACTGTTTAGGCCAGAAAAGAGAAAACTTACCTGGGAGAGTGCCAAAATGACTGTTTTGGCTGCGTGCAAAACCTGCAAGGGATATAAGCACCATGTCTGGATTCCTAATGGATCCATTGGCGCTTTCGGCCACTATTTTCATCACAACCAACCCACACAGTTCGGAAAGACATTCCTACAACTGAAACGAAATTGCTTTGCTTTATGCTTTAAGAAGTCGGGAGTTTTTGTGAATGATTATGACCCTATTTAGTTGAGGTGGGAGAGAGAGAGAGAGAGAGAGAGAGATGTTAGAGGTAGCAACTTGAGATTGGTGAGAAAAAGAGACTTTTGTTGAAGTGAGCCAGACATTTTCATATCTAATATAATTAAACAATGATAAGGCTAATGTGAACATCGGGTAAAGAAGATGAACTTTGCGGGTTGTCGGATCGGACCTATGTTCGATTCATTTTATGCATGCTTCACATAATGCGGGTTGTCGGGTCGGTTTCACATAATAGACCTAGGTTCCATTTTATCCAACTGTTAAATACATTTTACGATACTGTATTTATGATTACTGCTTAGTACCATTTACAATTAATTAAGTTACAATTTAATTACTGTTAATTGTTGTTAATTAATACTTTCTTAAAAATTAATTACTATTACATTTAAAAACAATTTAAATGTTAATAACGGTTACATAAATGTACTTATGAATTATACTGTTACTTAATAAATACATTACTATTAATAACTTCTGCTAATTTATAAATATTATTGTTAATTAATAACTACATTATTTTTTATTTATTTATAGTAATTTATTAAAATACTGTAATTATAAAAAATTATTGTAATTATCAAAATACTATTAATTACATTTTACAATACAGTAATTATGATTACCGCTTATTACCATTTAAAAATAATTTAGTTACAATTTATTTACTGTTAATTGTTTTTAATTAATACTATCTTAAAAATTAATTTCTGTTCATTACTGTACACGGGCTTTCGGGTCGGTAATAAATTAAATATAACTAATAAATATTTTAATAATAATTATTATTAATTTTTTTTATTATTCAATACGTTTTACTAAATTAAATACAAAAAATAATACTTCATTAATTTTTTACTAAATTTAGTTAAAAAAATTAATTACTTAATCTTATAAATATTTCCGAATTTATAATTACTAAAATATTATTAATATTTTAATAATACTGATTAATAAAAAAATATAAGTAGCAAAATTTATTTACTTAAAATTAATTTCTGAAAATACTAATATCAGTAATTTTAATATTACTGATTCCAAAATCAATCCACACATAATAATAATAATAATAATAATAATAATAATAATAATAATAATAATAATAATAATAATAATAATAATAATAATAATAATAAATTACTTTATAATAATAATTATAATAATAATAATTACTATTATTATTATTATTATTA